CTGTGAAATACTGTATTAAAGCAACCCACCATGTGTTACTGCAATGTGTGTTGTAAATGTCTGCGATTTTATTTTCTTTCAGAAAAAGATGAAGAAAAGAAGGAAAAAAAGTCAGCGTAAAGAAAGAATAACAGGTATACTTCATGATGAAAATTTGCAATCAAAATTACATTCATTCATTTCCTGAATAAAATGGTTACAAATCAAATGAAATTGTAATTTACATTATTAGGTAGCCAGGACAACCAAGAAGTGACTGATGAATCATGGGAAAGAGTTACAAGTGAGTTATCTTCAATGTTGCAAGGGAGAGAAGAAATACCAGAAAACATTGCACCGTTCGATGCAGCTGCTGATATCCCAATTGAAGAACAGAGGTATTCAGTGATTGGCTTTTTCTACGCAACATTTGAGACGTTAACTTTTTGTCAACTGTTTCTGAAAGAATTGTGTATATATGAAAGGGCACAACATTTTTTTCAGATTCTTTTGTCAAAGTTATTCTAACATAGACTACTTAACCCTTTGAGTGCCAGACATTCTTCCAGTCCATAATTTAGGGTATTGGTAAATTATTTCACATTTTGTAAAATTTTCACAAAATTTTATCATATTGGGAACAGTACAGACAAGTTCAGATATTGCTTTTAGTTTTTGATCCAAAGTGTTGTCAATTTTTATCTTCATTTTATATATAGAGAAGCAGACTGCATAAAACCATTTTATAGATGGTGCCAAAATTGAAAATGGTGCTCAAAAGGTTGAACAATTTTTTCCTGTTTAATTATTCAATATTTTTCCCGGAATGACATTACGTTTTCTCAATTAATTCTTATAGTTTTATACATTGGCAGGAAAGGTTCAGGAAAGGTGTAGCTTAATTTAAAAGAATTTTTTTATTGGCAGTTGTTAACATACCAGGTTGTTGAAAGAAATACATCTTTCTTTGCCCATTTACTCCTAATTACATCATTTGTAAAAAATAAAAATAAAATCATATCCTTCCCACCACTACCATAATAATGTGCATTTCATGTGTTTTCAAAGTACAGAAAAAAACTTTTGCAGCCTTAGGTAAATATTTCTATGCTTTGTAATATAGGTTAAGGTTAAAGGTTAAGGTTAAACTGCTGAATATGCAACAGTTATGTGGGAGAGAATGAATTTTACATTTTGACAAGTATTTGAAAAAGACATGACTTGTATGCAATCCCATTCCACACACTTAATTACATTAGAAATTTCTAGATATTTCTCATGAATATGAAACCCTAGTTGCATACCCTTATCTTTATCCGCCCTTGATATCAGAAATTAGTCGTATTGTAACACTGACAAATGCTGCCTGTTTTCTAGAGCCAGTACAATGATTAGGATACAAGAATCACTGCATAATGGAATGGCTGGTGAAGCTATAGCAATACTAAGAGCTGCTAGGTGAGTAATATCACAATGTGACACTGGATCTTTGCCCTTGTCAATGTTATTGGTTATGCTATTATTTGTTCTGGGTTGTCAACATAATATTAATAATTAGCATGAAGGATGATTCTGAGTGATTTAATTATAATCACTTTTAATTTTTTAGAGAAGTGTGGCCTGAAAATGACGTGTTTGGTGCCGCTGATATCGGCGCAGAAGATGAATTTATGGCGCTTAGAGAGATACACTATGCTAATCTACCACGTAAGTAACTAATTTAATGTCTAGTGTAGAAGGGGATCACCTCTATGGGAACCTTGGTATACTGCTAACATCCTGTACAGGTGGGTGTCTATGGTTTTTCATTCCCCAGACTGGATGCAGTCTGCAAGCTTAACCCAAGGGAATAAAAGAGCATGGTGCTTGAGTAGAATTCTGCTTGATCTGACCATACATAAACCAACTTCTATAGTGTTCTTGCATCAGTTACAAGCTCCTGAATAGTTTGATCTTCAACCTTCCTGACCTTTAACCTAATAATTATGAATGTATGAAAATATGCAAATTGATGCACTAAAATGGGTGGGAAAAATTGTAGTATTCAAACTAACTGACCCAGTATAATCTGATTTGCGTTGTTGATTTTAGGACAAAATCAAGATGAGGAAGGTGAAGTAAATGAAGAAGATGAACTGGAAAATGGTAAATGTACCCTAGACAGAAATGACCACTAAGATCTCATTAAGAGAGTGAGAAAGCAATAAGAATTGTTTTTCCCCTCAACTAATGTTCTATTCCCCCCTGTCATCAAATCCACTGTTCCTCTGATCTGTGTAACCATGGTTTTTGAAACAGTCGGCATAATGAGAGAATGGAACAATGTCAGTCCTTGTTTTCTATGAGATCTTGGCGGCCATTTTTTTCTGTGTTATTTCTGTATTTAGTAATTTCTTGGACCATTGTCACATCATTCATTATAATGATTTGCTTGTTTTCATTTGTGATATGTGAAACTGAGATCCTATGATGAGTGTATCTTTTGTACATGTTGTTCTAAATCAGCAAAAAAAAATCATTCTATGATTGATTAACCTTTTCACCACCAGACTTTCTCTCCCAAATTTGTCTGCACTTTTTTTCTAATATTCTTCAATATTTCTGGAACCTTAATTTTAGAGTCAACAGACAAAATTTACTCCAATATACAGTTTTAACTCAACAAATTTCGCTATTTTTGTCCCAATCTTCTGAAGGAAAGTGCAGACTATAAAAGGGACTATTTTGTGAATTTGGGATAA